TTATATATTCAAAAATTTCATGAATGATTATCCTGACATGCTGTATCTGAGAAATCTAGTATCTGAAATCCTTGGTGGGGGGCTAAATCTGTTGCTTTTTGTTTCTTTTGATGCTTTAACTCACGGTGGCTTTTTTTTTCATTGTGTGTTTGTTAATTTCTGGTTGTGGGAGTAATTTTTTAAAATATTTCGTCAGGGGATGCCTGGGTGGCTCAGCGGTTGAGCGTCTGCCTTCGGTTCAGGGCATGATCCTGGGGTCTCGGGATCGAGTCCCGCATCGGGCTCCCCGCATGGAGCTGGCATCTCTGCCTTTCTCTCTGTGTCTCTCATGAATAAATCAATAAATAGCATCTTTTTAAAATATTTTTTAATCAGTTTATTTTTTATTTTTCATCTCTGGAAAACCTAAAGGTTTGATTTAGGAAATGCGCCTTCAATAAATCTGTAGTTACTCCTACCAAGCACGAGAGGGCGCTACTACCACAATCAGTTAAATTCTCGGAGAAAAATGTCCCAGACCTGAAGAACCGCAAGTAGGCGTATGGTTCCTGGTTCACAGAGACTATCTTATTCTTAATTTCTTTTTTTAAAGATTATTTATTTATTTATTCATGAGAGATATGGAGAGAGAGGCAGAGACACAGGTAGAGGGAGAAGCAGGCTCCATGCAGGGAGCCCGACAGGGGACTCGATTCTGGGTCTCCAGGATCACACCCTGGGCTGAAGGCGGCGCTAAACCGCTGAGCCACCCGGGCTGCCCTCCATGAAGTTTTTTTTTTTTTTTTTTTTTTAATATTTCTTTTTATTTATTTATGATAGACATAGAGAGAGAAAGGCAGAGACAGAGGCAGGCTCCATGCCGGGAGCCCCACGCGGGACTCGATCCTGGGACTCCAGGATCGTGCCCTGGGCCAAAGGCAGGCGCGAAACCGCTGAGCCACCCAGGGATCCCCTCCATGAAGTTTTTTAACCTCCAAGGTCTCAGCATTCATGTGAGCCGGAAAGGTAGCTCCAATTTATCACCCTGATTTACACTTAACTTCCTTGATTTGAAGGGCCCTTGGGAAGTTCCTTACTTCTTGAAAAGTTAGCAATGGTTTTAAGATCATATGTAATAATGGATCTGTAATCTAGTTGCCTTGTAGTAGGAGGGCTCCGGTAAAGCCTAGAGCACCAGCCTGCCAGAGGGGAAGTTGGGAAGACCAGTTTTCTTTCTTTCATTTACTCATTCATTCATCTGTTCAAAGCTCATTACTGAGCAACTCTGTGTGCCAGCTAACATTTTGATGATGAACAAAAGCAGACAAGGTCTCTTAGAGGAAAGACAATTATAATAAAAGAATCACACACACAAAAGTGTGTGCTTACAGATGAAGAGGGGATTACACGAAAGTGCAAGCTACTGGTTCTCAAGCTGTGGCTCACACCGGCAGCATCAGTAGGAACTTAGTGAAGCACAAATTCTTCTCAAACCTACTGAATCAGAAGTCCCAGGATGAGACCCAGCAATCTGTATTTTAATAAGCCCCCCAGGTGATTCTAAACCACTGGCATAAGCCAAAGGAAGTGGTGATGACAGCAGAAGGAGTGGGAGGCACACAGGCAGTGAGAACAGTGAGAACGCAGATGTCCTGTGGTGCCGGGGAATGTGGTTGTTTAAGGAACCAAGAGAGGGTGAATGTCTGAAGGCCTTGAAGGTTGTAGAAGGAGCTTGTCCTGATTCTTCAGAGTGATGGAAAGCCATTGAGGGGGACAAGAAAGTAGGAAAAACTTATTTGTTCAGATTCAGGGCAGGACCAGGCTGTGGTTTGAGGACAAAGAAAGAGGGAGTGATTCCTAGAAAACTTTAAGAGCAGGGTTAGCAGGAGCTGGGGACTCCTTTGATTTGGAGGAGGGGAGCTGATCCGAGACATCTGGCCTGATGACATAGCTGTGCCACAGAGCACTGCAGCAGGAGCAGGCTGGGAGGACACGTGAGGCACTTCTGGGATGCTCAAGCATGTGTGACCAGGGACAGCCAGCAGTGTGCACCTGGAGCTCAGGACAGTGGTTGGGCTGGAAACACCAAAGCAGGCACATTTGCAAAGTGAGTCCCCATGGCTCAGCTGTTTAGTGAGTCTGGAAGCAGTGATCTCAGCCAGAATCGTCCCAAGGTGTGTCCTTTCCCCCGACCCTGCACGTGGAGTCCTCGTGTCACTATCCATGTAAGTTAGTCGCCTGTAATTTCTCCTACTGTGATCACTGCTATGAAAATAAGTGTCATGTTTAACAGCACGAAACCAGTGATATGTTATTTACATTTGCCCAAGTCACAGGCTCCTTACACACAAGCCTCAGACACTACCCCCACTGGCAAGCTCAAAGCAGGTACATTTGCTATTTGGTTCTCAGGGATTTATGTTCTTTACTCCTATCCTACTAATCCTTCCATCTCAGTGAGCTCTCAAAAAGAATGATGACCTCTAACAACACGTTAATTCTTTGAGGAATTTAACATGAGTATTATGAGACCCTGCTGATGTAAAAACATGTGGCTTTTAAAAATATCCTTGGCCACAGTGGCACCTGTGTGGCTCAGTCAGTTAAGCATCTGACTCTTGATCTCAACTCAGGTCTTTTTTTTTCTCCCTTTTTTCCTTTTATTTTTTTTAAGATTTTATTTATTTATTCATGAGAGACACACACACACACACACACGCAGAGGCAGAGACACAGGCAGAGCGATAAGCAGGCTCCACGCAGGGACCCCGATGTGGGACTCGATCCCGGGTCTCCAGGATCACACCCTGGGCCAAAGGCAGGCGCCGAACCGCTGAGCCACCCAGGGATCGCCCTCAGCTCAGGTCTTGATCTCAGAGTTGTGAGTTCAAGTTTCGTGTTGGGCTCCATGCTTAGAGTGGAGCCTAATGAAAGAAAGAAAGAGAAAGAAAGAAAAAGAAAGAAAGAAAGAAAGAAAGAAAGAAAGAAAGAAAGAAAGAAAGAAAGAAAGAAACCCTTGGCTACTTCCTGCCTGATCTTTGTCTTTCCACCCTCTTTCCCAAGCTGTTGTGACCTTTTCCTGGGCCCCTGAAAGTGAAATGAGCTGTTTTCTCACTAATCACGTCACACTTAACCCTAGCCTCACTCCAGCTCTGTGGCAGCAGCCCGTGAGCCCAGCTAGCAGTGCTGGTCAGGGGAGTGGAAGGAGTGGGCCTGGAACAGAATGGCCGGCCCCATGGGAGGCCTACATTCCCTCTGGTTGAAAGTGAGGAGCTAGAGGGGAAGATCTCCAGCCCCCAGAGACACCTCTGGAAAGAACCCAATAGGGAAAGCTGACAGTACAAAGGCAGGCTTATGGGTGTAATTACTGCCCCCAAAAGAAGATTTAACTAAAACCGAATCTTGAAAGAATTTTTAGGGGCGCCTGGGTGGCTCAGTGACTGAGTGTCTGCCTTGGGCTCTGGTCATGGTCCTGAGGTCCTGGGACCTAGTCCCACATCAGGCTCCCTGCATGGAGCCTGCTTCGCCCTCTGCCTGTGTCTGCCTCTCTCTGTGTCTCTCATGAATAAATAAATAAAATCTTTTTTTTTTTTAAAAAAAAAGGATTTTTCAGTTTTATTCTCTTGCTGACTGGTAATGTGACTAAGGGCAAACTACAGAGACCACTCTGACCTCTGGCTCCCTTCTTGCCTATTTGTATGTGCCACCTCCTCTTTCACACGCACACCCCCCCCCCACAATGACTGTGGTACCATCACTGCTTGCATCCAGCCCCAAACCTCTGGCACTGCAGCGATGCTGGAGAGCCACTGGGCTCACAAACTGACCAGACATCAGAAGAAATTGAGGCACAGAAAGGGCAGTGACTGGCCAAGACAGACCCCGCTTTTCCATGCCGGGAACACAGGCTTCCTGAGTCTGAGCAGGAGGAGAGGCCACCGGAGTTAGGAGTTCAAGTCACTTCTACTGGATTCACAGCTCCCTTAGCTCGAAGGGGCAGCACATTTCTGCTAGAAGGAGCTCCTGAACACCATTTCTTAAACTTTAGCGTGTATAAAAGGCACCAAAGAGCTCTGCACAACATGGATTCCTAGGCCCTAATCTCAGAGATTCTGATTCGATCCATCTCCCAGGGGGACTCAGGATTCTGCATTTCCAGCCAAATGCCCGTGCTCCACAGACCACACTGGATTCATCCCTGACCTGGAAACCAGCAGACCCCCACCTACTGTGTCAGTAAGGGCAAGGCGAAACTAGCAGAGCAAGCAGGTGCCAGAGTGCAGGGGCCTGGGTGGTCAGATGGGCTGTGCTCCCCTCACCCAGGGTCCCGGCCAGGGAAGTGTCTCCCACATCCTCACCAGAGCCAGTGAGGAATCTCCTCAAGGACAAGAGAGGGCAATTGCACACATTACACATTTCTCGAGCAAGAGACCACATATGTGGGCACATTGAGTTGCAAGGGAGGTTAGGGAGCAGAGCCTGGTTCCCCATCCACAGCCCCTGCGGTCACACTGTGACAGTAGAAGAAGAGGGGACTGATTTGGGGGCCACCCATAGTTGGTAGCCCATGATCCAGTGAAAGAGGGCTCTGACAAGCACACGTGGGGGCCAATGCCATCAGGCCCAGGCTGGGGGAGTCTGAACTTTGATGGGAGACTGTCACAGGCCCCAAGTAGAGCAGAGGAGCAGAGTAAGGGCTCTGGAGCTGGAGGCTCAGATGTGTCCAGGTGAGATGTGTGACCCTGGGCAGGTTCACACTGTCTCTGAACTGAGGCTGTGATCATAGCTATAACCTTATAAATGATGATAACAGTGTGGGTTTTTTTTAAGATTTCATTTTAGTTTTTTTAAGTGTGCCCAATGTGGGACTTGAACTTACAACCTGAGATTCAGAGTCTCATGCTCCACCAACTATGCCATCCAGGTACCCCTATTGTCACGGTTTTTACAGGGAGCCCCAGCAAATGGCAGGAATTCCGGGCATTCAGGTCATCATAAAGTGGGCCAAGGTTGATCTCAAACCAGATCGGGACATTGGTGGGTACAAACTCTGCTCATCTTTATTGCCAATTAAGTAAACCTTCTTGGCCAGCTTTTAATTGCCACTTAGCAGTTGAGGTGGGTAAAGCAAACAAGCACCATCAATGAGAGTGGGCCAGGCAGACACCCTGGAAAAGCGGCCCCGACTCCTGGCACCACGCCACCAGAGATGACTCCGAGAGGGGCCAGGCAGGCAAAACCTCTCAGTGGAAAGGTGGGGGCGGAGACAGGACCCAGGGAACAGGTGTGGTGGTTGGAGTAGGGGATCCCATTGTAAGTCTGACGCCTGACCTCAAGGAGCTCTCGGTATGACGGGGTTAGGTTGAGAATCAAATCAACAACCCAACAACCACGGCAAAGCACAGGGAGGGCTGCGATCTTGGCCTGTGGGAGATGTGGGAGGGATCAGGGGCCCGGTGGAGGTGGTATGAAAACCCACAGCCAGTGGGGGCAAGGGAGACTCCTGTGCTTGCCAGGAAGGACTCAGGAGAGGTGCTCAGCCTGGGCCCAGGGGCGGGTTCAGCCAAAGAGTGATGGAGTCACCGTGTGGGCGCTGCCCCCTGCGGGCCAGGAGGGAATAAGCCTTCCAGGCCAAGGCCAAGGATAGTCCAGTTTGCAATCCCTGTGCAGGGCTGGGCTGCCAAACCCCCCAGGAAGAAGAGGGGGAATAGGCAGGGAGGGCCCAGGGGGTGGGGGAGGTGGGGCTTGTCCCCAGAGGCCAAGGGAGCCGCTGAAGGATTCTGGACCAGAGGAGACTGAAGGCTGCTCTCCAGTGGGGGTGAGGTGGAGCAGTTAGAAAGGAGGTGAGGTGGGGGGCAGGGGAGGATGGAGTGCTGCCCAGGAGTGCAGGCTCTGAGAGCTCTCTGAGGGTGAAGTCTCTGGGATGTCAACAGCACCACTGGCCAATGAGTGTGCTTCACGGGCTCTCCGGGAGCGTGGGAATCCAGGCAAGTGCAGCTGGGTGGCCGAAGCCAGCCTTGCCTTCCCGGAGTCCAGGGCCCTGGGCCTCCTGCTGCTCCCCGCCACTGCCTACCCTTAAGGAAAGGCCAGGCCCCTCGAATTGGAATCGCAAGCTGGTGCTTTCACCTTGGCCTCCAATCTGGGCGGCTGGGCAGTGGTCTGGCCGGGAGCTACAGGCCTCACCTGGCCACGCTCATCCCCATGAGCTGAGGAGGTACTCGTAGGTGAGGAAGGTGACAGCGTTCACAGGAAAGGCGCGGGCACTGTTGATTGTAAGCCCCCGGAAAAAGACCCCCAGTCCTTCCTGTCGGGCACTGCTTACCATGCAGTCCAGCACCCCCCGGTACACCCTGTGCTTCAGCCCGCCCATCTGCATCCGGGACTTGATCACGTCCAAGGGGGTGGCTACAGCCCAGGAGGCAATGCCTGCAAAGCCCCCTGCCACCAGCACTGTGGCTGCACCTGGGGTAGAGGAAGCCCAGGCAGGTGTCAGACTGAGGAGCAACAGCATCCTCCCATCCCATCCCATCCCCAGCATCCCTCTGCATCCTCCACGGCCTGGGCCAGCTCCCCTCCCCCACTCCTCTCTGTCCCCCACCCTCTCATGCCACTCCACTCACCGGGGTTCTGGCGATCTGGTGTAGACTGGCGGCAGAGCCACTCATAGGTGACAAAATAGATCCCCAGTGTGGGGGTGTCCCTCAGCGTCAGGGCCCAGGCTCCGCGGAAGAGCCCCCAGGGCCCGTCCTCCCGGCAGATAGAGACTGCACAGTGCACAGGACCCCGGTACCGGGGTGGGGGGCTGCCCGGCCGAGCCCTTGGCTCCATCTGGTTTTGTAGCCGGACTTTGATGAGGTCAAAAGGGGCCAAGCAGTAGGCCTGTAAGGGAGGAAGCACGAAGACCTGGGTGGGGCTCTGGGTGAGAACAGCGGCCCATTGTAACAAGAGGAAGGGAGTGGGCAGAGAGGGTTGCATCTTCCCAAGGGGCCTCGCCACCCCCGTGGCACCCAGGGTGGGCCATGGGCTAGACCGCTTCCCTTAGTATCAGACCCCTGATGGCGGGTGGCACAGCCCATCCCCTGGATGGCACCAAACCTGCCTGGCACCTACACGGTGCTTGGAGACAATCCTGGATTATTTCTCCAAGAGTAGGTAGGTTTCTAGCCTCCCAAAAGCCAGAAGTGAGAACCCCCCTGCAGTGACTGGGGATTCAGTCCTCAACCATGAGACAGCTCTGACACCTCCCCAGAGTGAAGGAGGTCACCTCAGTACTGTTGGGGACTCAACTTCATAGATTCTCACTCTCCAGCTTCCTGTAGGACACCTCTCAGAGGCACCTGAGGGGGTCAGGTGCTGGGCCAGCCTTTCCTGCATCCCGCAAATCCCCAACCACTAGTGTCCCAACGGAAGACAGGTGGGTGGGGTCTATGGGTCCTAGGACTCATCACCTGGCTGAGGCAGATGGGACATTTTGGGTAGTATCAGGACTGAGGGTGGTTCTGGGTGGATGCAGAGGGAAATGGAGCCAGGGGCTAATGTGAAGGTCAGGGATGCACTAGGTCAAGGTCAGCTGTTGAAGTTCAGATGAGAAATCAGCCTGAGGCTAACATGTCATGAGGGGTTTCTGTGGATTTTGTTTCTTTTGTGGAAAGTACACAAGCTTAGCTCTACAGCCCCGGAGATGGCTGATGGCAGAGGCAGCTGGAAGCTGGCTCTGGCTGTGATGTTCAGAGGTGGCAGGCCAACTTTGCTTACTTCCTCCCCTCCGGGAAGGGCAGTGGGCTGGGCTCTCTCTTTCTGAGGCAGGATCCAATGTCATCCTGCAGAGCCCATGGGCAGCACCAAGCTCAGGGCTTCTCCAGGGGACATGCCTTTGAGCCCAGGGCTCCTGACTGAGGAAATGGCTGAGCTAGAGGTAGGGTGGCTAGCAGGGACAGGTTAGGGCCCCTTCCCTCCCCATCCCGGGTCCATGGCAGAGTGGGGATGGCAGATGCTGCCACGGTGTTTGCCAGGGTCAGCTTTTGCTGACCCAAAAGCAACTTTCGCATATCACAGGTTGTCATTCCCTGCCCTGGACTGGCCAGAGTCACACCCTGCCTCTTCCTCCCCGTCTCCACACTAAAACACAATTTCTGCCCCGAGACCTTGTTAAGCTGAATCCATGGGCTTGATGGCAAACTGGGTTCCAGTTGCCTTGAATCTGGTCCCCATCAGTGACCCTACAGTCCCCAGTGGCGGTATCTGTTCTGCTTTGCAAAGAGCTGGAGGGGAGGGTGACTTAGGACCTGGGCCTGGCTGGGCCAGCCACTAGCTTAGAGTCTCAGTTCTCTTCCCTGTTTTCGTGGGATGCAGGTCTCAGGGACTGAGAAAAATGCAGGCATGTGCCCTGCACAAGAAGGGGCAGAAGAAAAGCCAGAACCTTTTGGGGTCTCATGAATCACTAATTCACTTGCGTGAGCCCTCTGAGTCTGTCTTTTGCCCTTGCTCTCCACCCCAGGAAGTGTGTCAGGGGCATCAGGGCAGGTGCCAAACATAGTGTGACACCCCCCCCCCCCGCCCTGCACCTGACTGGGGTGTGGGATGGAGCCAGGCACCAGTCCCTCGGCCTCTATGCTCACGCTTCCCCCATCAGCTGGGGTTCCCCCTGCTGCCTGAGGCCCCTCTTTCCTCCACCCCACCAATCAAAAGCTGGATACTTAAGTGCTCAGAACAAAGACCAAAACAAATGATGGGATCTATTTAATGATTAATACCCTGAGCCCCTCCCAGTGAGATCTGTGGACTGGGGCCTGATGAGGCTCGGAGATCTCAGCCAGCTGCATGCTGTGGGCAAAGGGGCTGAGCAGGGCATGGGCTGGGCCAGGATCACACTGGGGCCGGAGGGGCTGGGCTTAGGGTCTGGGAGGGCAAAAGGTCACCTTAGAGGCAGCACTGAGGCTGGCAGACCCCTCCAGAGGTGGGCGAGCCCTGTCAGCCTCAGCATGGGGCATCAACTCTGCTCCATGGTGTCCTCTTGGCACCATCTCCCCCCATCTGACCCCCAGCTCTCTCAGCCTCCTGCCCCTCTGCTCTCTGTGACACTCCCCTCCAGACCTGCAGCCCAGAAGGCCACAGCTCAGCCAGGCCAGGTCACTGGGAGCAGCCAGGAGCTGGCCATTTCCCCACAGCTCCTCATGTACTCTTAGGAAGGCCTGGAGTCTACAGGGTGCCCCTGTGTGCATGTGTGTGCATGTGTATGTGTGCATACTCACAGCTGTTTGTGTGCTTGACAGCACCTGTGTACACATGCCTCCGTGCCTGCCTCTCACCTGCACGAACCCTCCAGTGCAGCCAGCTATGAAGACATGCGTGTAGCTGGGTGGCTGGGCCCACCGCTCCTGGTGGGAGGTTGCTGTGAGAGCCAGCAGCGTGTTGCTGTAGACTCCAAACAGGACGGAGTTGACCACAGCTATGCTTGCAATGGGGAAGCTCATTCCCTTGAAAAAACCCAGAAGCTGTAGGAAGACATGGTGGCTATAAGGCAAAGGAGCCTCCTCTTTGCCCTTTCCAGCTCTGGCAGGGTCTCCTCTGGCTGGAAACCACTCCTGAGCCCTGACACAGGGAGACTGAGGCAGGCTGAGGCTGGGGACAGCCTCAGCTCCATCATCGGGGTTACTAAGCTATACCACCCAGCCCCAGGTAGCCCCAGACTCTGGGCTTCTCTCTTCCAGGGGCAGCACCCTGCCAGGGGAGAAGAAAGCTGCTTCTGACTACCCAGATACCTCCCATTCCAAAGCCCCAAAGAAGCAAGACACCCACCGACTCATGGCGGTAAGTCTTAACCATGCAGTCAATGATGCCCTGGTATGTGGTCTGGGTCTGTAGCCGCACCTGGATGAGGAGGACAGGGCAGGCAGCCCAGCAGGGAAGAGCAGGGATGGGCAGGGATGAACAGGGTGGCTCCATCCAGCTCCTCCCCCTGCCCAGCAGGATGCCATTAGGGCAGGATTGATGAGAAAGATCCCCCATCAAAGCTGGGCCCTGCTCTCAAGGCATCCTGCCCTACACATCCTGACATCTAGCTCAGGTAACATCCTTCATGCTTTGGGAGCCTCCCCTTGACTCACCTTTACAGTGTCAAAAGGGTGTCCCAGAACCAAGCCCAGAGCTCCTGTGTGATAAGAAGATGCTATGAGCAAGGCCCCTTGCACCTGGCTGAGGAAAGAGGGATTTGGGCAGGAGAAAACGGGCCAAGGCCTTACAACCAGACTCCAAAGAAACTCCAGCTGGCCCCTTTGCATCTTCCTCCGCACCAAGCACTGGGCTGGGAAGGTGTGGGGACAAGGGGAGAGCCCTGGCCCTATCAGGAGGACATATAGGCAGAAGGGAGGAGCCAGCCACAGACACAGTGTCCTCACAGTGTCCAACCCTGACTGTCCTGCTTGCTTATCTAACTGTGGGGCTGTGGGACAGATTCTCTGGTGCTCCTGCCTCCCTGCCAGCCTGGCCTCTTCCTTCCTTCACCTCACCACTGCTGTTGAGTACAGAGCCTTGTTCCAGACCAGGTCCTGCTCTCCCAGCACTCTATCCCATCAGCCAGCAGTATGGGGCTGGAGGCCCCGAGGGGAGTCTTGCTGGCCACAGTGGAAAAGAGTCAGCCCCCAGGCCACCTCCCCACCTCTGGATCTTGCCTTCCATAGCAGACGCTGGTCCTGGAGCCTGGAGTGGAGGTCATAGCCCCAGGAGGCAGGTTCAGAATGTCCCCCTCTTTCTTCTGAGAGAAATATCACCCAGGAGCTGGGGTGGATCTACGACGCACCAGGCCTCGGTGCCAGAGCATGCAGGCCACCACCAGGTAGGGCAGAGGCCCAAAGGGGAACACAGTCCAGCTGCTGGGGTCAAAGGGGAAATTCCCTCATGAGCCCCACAGGGCGGGCCTAGAGAGTGGGGTTCTCAGTGGAGGTCTGCAGGTGTGTCTGGGAGAGTGCTCACCTCAGCTCCAGAGGTGAGGGCAGATGGCTCAGGGACCTGCTCCCTACTTAGGTAACTGCCCAGAGGCTCTGGAAAGCTGGCTCTGGGTGCTCCAGGGCCACCAGGACTTTGGTCTCTGCTCCTTCTATGTCCCCAGGAAGTGACCTACCACTAGGGGTGATATGATGGAAGGAAGAAAAATGTCTCACCAGAGATCCAGCCGGCCACAAACTCCTCCACAGGCATTGTCTGGCAGGGGCTGGAGCTGGTGGCTCCAGCAGAGGAGACGCTGGAGAGGGAAGGTCCCTGATCTCCCTCCCCCCAGTCTGCCTGATAACCTCCCACTAATGTTTAACTCTGCCTGCAGGGTGAGCAGTGGCCTGGTGCCCAGACCTCAGCACCAGGAGAGGGGAGGGAGTCAACTTGGGTGGCCCTGACCTTGGAGGAGGTGTGCAGCGTGTGAAATCTCAGGACAGGGATGATGCACCCTCCCTCTCAGGAGGCCTACCCGCCCCTGCCAGCCAACGATGGCCTTGCAACCTTGCTTCCTGACCAAGCATGGCAGCCAGGCCCCAGCCTCTAGGGCTGCCTTACCCAGCATGACTTTAAGGGGGGCCAGGCCCTGCCCACCCAGCCTGGCCAGCCCAAACCCCCTGCGTCCCCACAGCACCGCACACCAGGCTGTCACCCACCCCGGACGGGCCAGCAGAGATGGAGTGTGGCCGCCAGGGGACAGGGCCAGTGAGGTCCCCATATCCCTGGAACCCCAGAGCCTATAGGGTGGGAACAACTCAGAGAGGAATGACTCCCAGGGCCTGAAGCCCTGCCTTCCCCCAGGGTAGTGTGCAGCTCCCCCAGCTCCCTTGCGTGAGTCATAAACAGCCTCCTTCGCTCGGCCTTCTCTTCCCTGGGCCTCCTTCCCACGGGGAAAAGCTGCAGATATGAGTGTATAAAGGGCTGTGTGTGTCCCAGCTCTGGGGTGACAACTGCTCATTTCTCTGGACAACAACCTGAACGGACAAGGCAGGGACCTGCATCCCTTTCTCTTCCTCTCTGCTTCCTTCAACCCACCTTCTCTGTTGCCAATAGGTTTTTTTTTTTTTTTAATAATTTTATTTATTTATTCATGAGAGAGGCAGAGACATAGGTAGAGGGAGAAGCAGACTCACTGAGGGGAGCCTGATGTGGGACTCTGATCCAAGACCACGGGATCACAACCTGAGCCAAAGGTAGACGCTCAACCGCTGAGCCACCCAGGCATCCCTGTAGCCAGTAGGTTAAATGAGTTACAGCCTGAATCATTAACTCCACTCACCCATTGGCTCCTTACGAGCCCAATATAGTTAAATACCCTCACTCTTCAATGTTGACTTGAGAGTGATATTTTACATCATTTTAAAATTTGTGGCATCTTTTAACAAACCAGATGACTGCTCACGCCCTGTGTTTCTCACAACTGTCTGGTACTTTTATTTTTCCTGCTTCCATCTTCTCTGTCACCTGAGAGGGGGCCGTGTACATCACAGAGGCAGTGGGGCTTTGGTGTTGTCCACACTGGGGTTCCAATGTCAGCTCTGCCCCCACCAGCCGAGGGATCTGTGGCAAGGCACGTGCTTCCTGAGACTCTTTTCTCCTCTGTCCTTTGGGAGGCTCTGGAGTTCATCTGAGGGGGTTCCTTGAAGGGGGGGACCGGTATCCGCATTCAGGATCACAACATGTCCATTATACTTCATGATTCTGACGCAGTAGGGCACAGGAGCACAGCAGCGATCCCGTATACTTCGAGCAGGACTCAGATGCACATGTGCAGCCAGGACGCTGGGCAGACCATCAGAGCAGACCTGTGGATGCGGGCAGGCCAAGAGCTGAGTTTGCTGCAGATGACAAGCATCCAACATTAAAAGAGTGTCTGGGGTGGGACGCATATGTGGCTCGGTGGTTGAGCCTTTGGTTCAGGGCGTGATCCTGGAGTCCCAGGATGGAGTCCCGCATCGGGCTCCCCGCAGGGAGCCTGCTTCTCCCTCTGCCTGTGTCTCTGCCTCTCTGTGTGTGTCTTTCATGAATAAATCTTTAAAATCTTAAAAAAGAGAGAGAGAGAGTGTGTGGGGTGCTGATGTAACGTGTTGTTTGCATCGACGGCCACAAGATCTGTCAGATTCTATTCTTAGGTATGCTGGGAAGTGGAACAGGGGTGGGGTCCTCTTTCCAGGGCACAGAGACTGGAAGAGGGGAGGGGTGGAGACAGGGAGGCCAGGTAGGAATCTGAATGGAGGCGATGGTGGCATTAGGCCAGGGCAGTAGCAGTGGAGGAGTGTAGTGTTAAAAAAATATTTTATTTATTTGACAGAGAGAGAAAGGGCACAAGCACTGGGGAGGGGCAGAGGCAGAGGGAGAAACACACACCCCACTGAGCAAGGAGCTCGATGCGGGGTACGATCACAAGACCCCGGGATCATAACCTGAGCCAAAGGCAGGTGCTTAACCGACTGAGCCACTCAGATGCCCCCATCTTATGTAGTTTTAAATATGCATTTCTTTCTCCCGGGCTTCTTTCTTCCTCCTCTCTACCTCCACTCCCTAATTGAACCATAAGATAAGCTTCCTGAGGGTAGGGCAGTGTCTCACGTGGGTCTCCATCCCCTGCCCCAGCCCAGATCCTGCACCGAGTAAGCACTCAACCACACTGGACTATGTTCCTGCTTTGATCCAGCTAGTTAAGGGAGGCCACCAAGCCATTGTGTCCTGGTCTGAGGGTCCCAGAACTTAGAACCTGGAAGAAGAGGCATCTGCGTGGCTCAGTAGTTGAGCATCTGCCTTTGGCGTAGGTCATGATCCCGGGGTCATGGGATCAAGTCCCACATAAGGCTCCCTGCAGGAGTCTGCTTCTCCCTCTGCCTGTGTCTCTGCCTCTCTCTATGTGTCTCTCATGAATAAATAAAATCTTAAAAAAAAAAGAACCTGGAGATGCTTGTTTTATAGCACACTCTTGTCTCCAGCTCCCATCTGAGCTTCCTTGAGTCTTTAGTTCACACAAAGAAGACATGTTGTAATGGGCTCAAGTGTGGGGTAGCGTAGATCCTGGAGGGCTGGTAAAGAGCTGTTCCTACTGAGGAAACTTGGCCTGGGTTAGGAGATGGGCCTGCCTTCCAAAGCCAGGAATGAGGGCAGGGTGAGCCCACTCCTTCTCTTGCACCCCTACCCCCATCCTTGATCATCTAGACCATTGTCGTGGCTAGAACTACTTCTGGTTCTTCTGGCTCAGGAAGGTGCCCCATGGACCTGTTTTTCTCCCTGAGATCTACACTTCAGGCATACACAGGCTGGCGTTGCCAGGACATGTTGGTGACGTGACCCTGGGAGAGGTGGTTTCATGTCTGTCTCTTCCAGGCCCCAATGCCTCTTTCCAGGCTGGGAATGGCTCAAGGTCTCCAGGCTGTGTGTCTAATAAGATAGAGAGGGCTCATGTGACTGCTCCTTGGAAAAATCAAGTGTGCCTAGCTTGGGTTTCCAGCATATAATTGGAGAGTCGCTGGAGACCATTAAGTTCAACCTCTTCACTTTACAGATGGGAAACTGGGGCCCGCTGGAACAGGGGCTTGTCCAGGCTAAGTCTGGACAGGGACCCATTCTTCTGACCGCAGCGAAGAGTCCGCATCAGCCATCATGGCCCAGGGCCGCTACATTACATGCTGCTGCCTGAGTCACCTGTACCCAGCACCCAGAACTGTGTGCATCCCTGATGCGTCCCAGGAAGCATCTCCCTTTTACGGGTGACGGGACCAGCCCCAAACCACACGGAGTGCCCAGAGCTAGGCCACCACTCCCGACTTCTTGAACCTTCGCTACACCTTGTCACAGGCCCGCGGGCAGTCCTGCGGGGGCCGGGGGGGGCCACCCGCTGACCACGAGCGAGAGCAAACGCGCAGAACCACCGTGCGGGGCGTCCCAGGCTTGCGCGGGCCCCGGGCAGGGCGCGTGCGCAGCAGCCCCGAGCTCCCATTGGCTCCCGCGGACCGGGAGGCGGGGCCGTGCGCGTCGCGCTTCCTCCGCCCCAGCTTCCGCGTCGCGGCTGGGCCAGCTGGACCCCGGGTCGGTGGCGGAGTCCTGGCTCACTTTGGGGCGGGAGGCGGAGCTGGAGGTCGGAGTCAGACCGGGAGCCTGGGCTCAAGCGGCGGGCGCTGACTCCCTCCGAAGTGAGAGCGCGGCGACGCCCTGCGCGGGTTCCCGCCCCGGGCATCCCGGCCAGCCCCAGCCTCGACCCCCTCCCGACTGCCGGCGCCCTGACCCCTCCCACCGGCGTCGGCCTCGAGTTGGGTGAAGACCCGCTAGCCTGCGCACCAGTGCCTCCAGCTAACGCTGTTCACCTTTGCAGATGAGCGGGGACTCCGCCCTTCCCTGAGAACTTGAGGGCTCCCCAACCCTCCCATCCCTGGATCCCCCCAGTAACCAGTGCTTTCTCTTTCCCTCTGCAGATGGACGGGACAGAAGGCACTGCTGGGCAACCGGGCCCCGCTGAGCGGTCCCATCGAAGCAGCGTGTCCTCCGTGGGAGCCCGAGGTGGGTCCCTGTCCCCGCCACCTACTTCTCTATACCCAGCTGGGGCCCTAGCCCTGGGGAAGTGGCCGTGGCTTGTCATCTCTTTCATTAGAGAGAATGTTATATATCAACAGGCAAGGTCTGTGAAGGTGTAGAAAAAAAGAAAAAAAGACAGCACCTGGCCTCTGCCACTAGGCTGTTGGCCAAGGTGGGTACTGTTCTTTAATTTCCCCTTTCTCATTTGTAAAAGGAGTATGCCTTGCAGAGCTGTGAAATTCAAATGAAATCTCATGAATGAAGAGTGACACATTCACGTTCTCTGATTTCTTTCTCACAAACAATGGTTTGGAAGCAGGGATCATTATCTTCATTTTATAAGGAGGGAAATTGGGCCCTAGAGAGGTTAAGTCACTGGGTACTGGAGCCTGCAGTGCCTCTCAGTTGCCCCTACCTGAAAAGTGAGTGTGAATCACAGGCTCCTGGAGATGATTTTATGGTCCGTCAAGAAAATAGCAGTTACAGAAGAACAGACTGGAAATCCAAAATGCCCTTTCACTTGTGTTAGTGATAAACTATGCCTTTGCCTTTCATTGGCTTCACTCCATTTGATCCACAGCCACACTTTGAGAGAGGTGTGTTCTCCCTGCTTTAAGATGAGGCGACTGACATTCACACTTGCTGGAGAAGTCAGCGTGTTAGCGGGGGCCCAGGCTAGGATTGGAACCCAAGTATATTGGCCTCCAGGCTCGGTGCTCCCCTATGGTTCCTGCAGCTCCAGGGATGGGGATTTGAATGTGGCTACTCTTCCAAGGGTCTTCCTTCAGCACCAGACTCCAGATAAGATCATACGGGCTATCACAAGTAACCACTCAACCGTTTTAGGTTGTATTTCTCCTGGCCTGTTTAGACAGTCCTGAAAGCCCATAGAATTGGGTCCTGAGGCTTGAAGAATCCTGTGGGAGCTGAACCCTGGAAATTGCTTTACCCTGGGGCTGCCTTGGGAATCCTCTATTCCATCTTAGCTCGGGCCAGAGAGAGACAGCTACTTGCCTAAGGATAACAGTGAGTTTGGCAGCTCTCCTGCCTCACAGCCTGATATACTCCTGTAATCTCAGGACAGATTCAGCCTGTTTCTGCCTCAGTACCCACCTGTGGAATGTTCTCTGTCAAGGAAGAAGCTGAGCAGAGTTGTTGGGGCTGCCAGGAGAGTGTGTGGGGTGCAGTAACCAGTCTTAATTTGAACCTTTGGGAGTTAGGGTGGGGCTGGTCCCTGGGCCAGAATTGCTGGATTTCTGGGTGGTTTGAAGGTCTCAAGTAAGTCTTAACAGCACCCTACACAGGATCCTTTGGGGATGCTGGGGCTCTGTATCTGCAGGGTAACCTTGGTCACCCCAGGGGGCGTAGGGTGGGAACTCCAGCCCCAGTGGAGGGTAGTGAGTTCCTTGTCAGCATATGTATGCTTAGGTAGCAGGCTCAGCTGACCCTGGCCTGCCTCCATTGCAGCAGCTGACGTCCTGGTGTACCTGGCGGATGACACAGTGGTGCCCCTGGCTGTGGAGAACCTGCCCTCGCTTAGCGCCCACGAGCTGCACCGAGCTGTCCGTGAGGTCCTGCAGCTCCCGGACATCGCCCTAGATGCCTTCGCACTCTGGCTTGTGTCCCCTCTGCTGGGTAAGCCTTGGCAGTGAGAAGCCCATGCTGGAGGGTCGGGAGGGCAATGAACCAGTGGGAAGGGAAGGGGCAGCTTCCAGAACTTATGCCCGTTCTCCATAAGAAGAAGGTGGGACCTGTGTATGTCCTGGAGCTATCCCCCACTTTGAGGCCCTAGAGCCCTAAGAGAACACCTGGCTCTTCTGCCCCCACCTTCTTTCTCTCCTAGTGGCAGAGGAAGGGTCAAGTCTGACTCTCAGCCTGGATGCTGGAGTCTGGGGCACAAGGTGTAGCAGGGAGGAAAGGGCTCCACATTCAGTGAGCATGTAGTCAGTGCCACAACTTGAGCTGGCATTTCTTTCTTTCTTCTTTATTTTTTTTAAAGATTTTCTTCATTTATTCATGAGAGACACAGAGAGAGAGAGAGATGCAGGGACACAGGCAGAGGGAGAAGCAGGCTCCATGCAAGGAGCCCAGCCTGGGACTCGATCCCAGGACTCGATCCCGGGACTCCAGGATCACACCCTGGGCCAAAGGCAGGTGCCAAACCGCTGAGGCACCCAGGGATCCCCTTGAGCTGGCATTTCTTGAGCACGATTTCTCCTTACCCTCACGGCCCAGCCCGGTGTTGCAGATAAGGCCATTGAAGTTTGGAGTGGCAGGTTCACTGAGTAGTAGGACTGAGGCCAGAGTGGAACCTGGGGGTACCCTCAGCCAGCCTCTTTGAACTGCATTCTGCTCCTTGCGGGAGGGAGAAGGTGGACCTGGCCTAGGGGAGTGGCTACTCCTGAAGGCAGGGAGGGTGGAACAAGTGGGAGCCCCACTTTTCTGCAGCCCTGCAGGAAGGGAGTCAAAGGAGAGGATGCCTTGCGAGGTGCCAGGGCCAGGCATATCTGCCAAGCTTAAATATTCTCCTTTCTTGTAGAAGAACAGAGGCTAGAAGAGGGGTGACTGGTTCCTCGGAGGCCCCTAGCAGTTACCTCTTTCTTGAGACCAGTAGAATTTATGCCTCTACCATAGAGGGAGGATCTCTGCCAGCCTGGTGGGAAAGGGAGTGCCTTTCCCATATGTCCCTGTCCTGTCCTTGTCTGTCCTCCCATGTCCCTTCCCATATGTCCCTGTCCTCCCTCCCATTGGAGCTTCCTGTCCAGCTGCTACTCTCGCCTACCCTCTTCCTGCCAACATGTCTCCTCCGCCTGCTTCCCACCCAGGGCAGCTGCCCCGTTGTCCCCCCCACACCCTGGGTGTTGGTCAAAACTGTTGGTCCCTTGGTTTGTGTCTTTGGGAAGCTGGGGGTGGCTGGCCTCTGTCCTGCCTCAGGCTCCCTGTTCCTGCAGCTGGGCGGCTGTTTCTTCCTCCTCCTTCCTCCGCCCCCACTTCCTCCTCATCACATTCCTCTTCCCCTGTGGCAAGAACATGAATGGGCCGCCTGTGTGGCCAGCAGGGTCACCCTGGGGCACCACCCTATCCAGGACGAGGGTGGCTAGAGGCCCCAGCACAAAGTCAGCGCCCACTTGGTTCCCAGGCTGGGTTCAGGAAGTCTGAAAGGCTGTTTCAGCTTTGACTCGGGTCCCTCAGAACTCTTGGCTGCTCTCCATCCCCCATAGTGGGTTAAGCGGGGAGCAGATGGCCCAGGGCTAGGTGGCCGGGGCAGGGTGCTGTCTGGTAGAGCCACTCTTCAAGCTGGATGTGTGGGGAGTTTTGTCCTTCACAGTGCCCTTGTCACTGCACGGAACAAGCTCCGGGGCACACGAGTCTCACTTGGGTGAAAGCCTCCAGACAGGAAGGGCCCATCTGATAGTGTGTGGGACCACAGGATCAGTGCCCTGCTTTGATCATGGGAGTCCTCGGAGCTGCTGGGGCACAGGGTCGGGATGGGCTGTAAGCAGAGGGAAGGGCACCGTTGCCCAGGGTCCCCTCTCCTCAGTGTGTCCAGGGACCAGCTCATCAGGTACCTTGTTCATCTCACGAGTATGTGTAGAGCCACCTCCTCCACCCCGTTTTGGCTGGTGATCTCGATGCTTGGGGACGCAGTATCCTGGCTCTCAGGGACCTCACGGTCTAAAGTGTGCTACGGGAGCTCTGGTCCTGGTTTAGCCACCAACACTTGGTGGCCTTGGGCAGGCACTGTCCCTCTTTGGGCTTCAGTTTTCCACCTGGCCAGTGGGTGGCCTCATGCACTCCAGCGCTGACATCCTGTGAATGTCCAGGCAGAGAGCAGGTGGAGGCCCTGCTGAGTGGCCTGGGCAGTGGGGTTGCAGAGGGAGCCTTTCCTGGAGAGGAGAGGACACTGTCGCTGGGGGCTTGTGGCCAGTCCCCCTCCTGGGGAGTGGTGAGGCAGGGCTGGCAACAGATGGGTGCAGCAAGCACCTAGATAGGAAATGAGGGCTGAGGAGAGGTCAGAAATCTGATTCTGAAAAACGCTGGCAGAGAAAGGGATGTGAAGAAGCTGGATGCAGGATTGGATGGGAGAGGCTGCAGGCAGGAGGGAGGCCAGTTTGGGGGCTGTGACTACTGTTTTGGGTTAAGATTAGGAACCAGGGGATCCCTGGGTGGTTCAGCGCCTGCCTTTGGCCCAGGGCATGATCCTGAAGACCCGGGATCAAGTCCCGCATCGGGCTCCCTGCATGGAGCCTGCTTCTCCCTCTGCCTGTGTCTCTGCCCCTCTCTCTCTCTCTCTCTCTCTCTCTCTCTCTCTCTCTCTCTCATGAATAAATAAATCTTAAAAAAAAAAAAAAAGATCAGGGACCAAATGGAAGCCTGAAGAACAGAGATGAGGACCCTTGACTTCAAGCTGGGAGGATAAGGCTCTGGGGCTCATAGTGGGAGATTAAGCAGGGAGAGAGGGGTCCAAAGAGGGGTCAGACGGCAGGAGAGGTTAGTTGATGGGATAGATGTTGTCATTCCCATTCCTCTACTTCCGCCAGCCACCTTTGTTTATCACCTGTGGCTTAGAAATGGCGTCTGACTTCTCAGAGGTGTGGTTGCTGGCACATGAGATGAGAGCACTTTCTCATTACTGGCCCAGGTTGTCGAGTCCGGGGTCCCGCTGGCTGCCCAGAATCAAGAGATGGGCATGAGTGGTGCACTTGGCCATTCTGCCGACCTTTGTGAGGACCTATGGCCGGCCAGGGGTACAGCAGTGAATGGGACAGAGCCACTCATGCTGGAGTAACCTGAGGGCTCACCAGCTCGTGGGGCATAGACCAGGAGATGACATCAGATAGTGGTAGACAGTGTCAAGGCAACCAAATGAGGGTGTAGTTGGTGTGGTGGAGGGTGATGGAGTGGGGGTGCTGCCTCAGTGGATGGTCTGGGGAAGGAGACACTTGAACCAAGACCCAAGCCAGTCAGCCATGTGAAGATCTAGTGGAGAGAGAGCCCGAGGCAGGAGGAACAGCAAGTGCAAAGGCCCTAAGGCACTGACAAGCTGGGAAGGTTCAAGGAATTGAAGAAGGCCAGTATGGCAGGAGCAGAGTAGGAAGGGAATGAGGTGGGAGAGCTGGATGGCATGGAATGAAGGTCAGCTGGAGCCCCTGGGGGAGATGCTGGAGGTGGGGCCTGGTGAGGGAGAGGTCCAGCCTCTGCCAGGGGCAGGGGAGGGCAGCCCCTTGGGCCTCTAGGCTTCAGTTACCAACTTTGAGCTCTGCTTCCTAATGGCCGTCCTGCAGGGTTCATCTGTACCACCATCCCTGGCACCTTCCATCAGCCACAGCCTCTCCACTCCGGGCCACCCCCATGCTGCAGGGAGTCCGAGGCTGGCACTGTCTAGAACCTCATCCTCTCTCACTGTGTGACTTTGGACAAGTAACTTAACCTCTCTGAGCCTCATTTCTCCCAATGAGTGAAATGAGGATAGTGTTTTCATGGGACAGATGTACATAATCCACTTGAAGTGCTTCTGACCGCTGATACCTACTCAGTTAACACTGGCCGTAACTGGGGTGCCTAGTGGCTCAGTTGGTTGAGTGACACTCTTAGTTTCTGTTCAGGTTGTGATCTCAGGGTTGTGAGATTGAGCCCCACATCGGGCTCCACACTTAGCAGGGGTTCTGCTTGAGTTTCACTCTCTCTCCCTCCCCCTCTGCACCTCCCCTCCCACCCTGCCCCAGGCATATGTGTACGCTCTCTCTGTCTGTCTGTCTGTCTCTCTCTCTCAAATAATAGATAAATAAATCTTAGAAAAAAAATTCCTGGCCATGACTGCCATCGTCGTTGCTGTGTTAGTGGGCGGCAGTCATATCACTCAGAGGCCGCATACACAGGCCGCTTCCTCTCTCGTCCTGCAGAGGTGCAGCTGAAGCCCAAGCACCAGCCCTACAAGCTGGGCCGCCAGTGGCCAGAACTGCTCCTGCGCTTCACTGATGCTCCTGACGATGACGTGGCCATGGGTTAGTGCTGCTGCCAGGGTGCCCCTGTCTCAGGCCCACCTAGGCCTCCCCTGGCAGGTGGGGCTGCCCTTGCTGAGGGGTGGGACCAGCATCTCCCCCTGGGCACCATCACCTCAGGATGCTGGAGGTGGGGCCTGGTGACAGGGAGGCCCAGCTGCCAGGGCCAGGGGAGGGCAGCCCCACAGGCCTCTGGGCCTATTACCAGCCTTTACAGGTTCCTCGAGGGGAACCCAGGAGAGGGTGGCCTGGGGGTCAGCTATGCATCCCCCTCTCTGGACAGTCCTGAGGTTTTGTCAGTTATGGTGGGTGAGGGGGCACTGGGCCTGTCAGGGGAGAGGGTGAGGCTGGGCCAAGCCAGGGGACCAGGCAGTGACCCCAGCCTTTCTCCTCAGATGAGCCTTCCCTGCAGTTCCGAAGGAACGTGTTTTTCCCAAAGCGGCGGGAGCTCCAGGTGAGGCCGTGAACCCCAGGTGGGACCACCCATCTCTGGTGCCCTGTGTCCCTCCTCCCCTTGTCCCTAGACCCCTGAACACTGGTCGTCGAACCAGCTGAGCAGCCCCTCCCTACCACACCGGCCCGTAGATCCATGATGAGGAGGTCCTGCGGCTGCTCTATGAGGAGGCCAAAGGCAACGTGCTGGCCGCACGGTACCCATGCGACGTGGAGGACTGTGAGACCCTGGGCGCCCTGGTGTGCCGCGTGCAACTCGGGCCCTACCAGCCTGGCCAGCCCACTGCCTGTGCCCTGAGGTGAGGGCCAGTGGGACCTGAGGCAGGGGCATGGGGTGGGGAGGGTTGCCCTGGAATCCTACTTCCAGGAGGAAGTCAGGAGGCCTAGGCCCTAGGGCTGGCCCTGACACTGTGTGACCTTTGACAAGTCACCCTACCTTTCTCAACCCCTTTCCCTCATCTGCACTGGACCTGAGAATTAGGAGATTTGAGTGAAGTGACATCTGTGAGAAGAGCCCCAGGTGTGCATGAGGGTGGAACCCAGCCTCCACCTGAGGTCAGAAGGGAGTTGAGCTTGTTCTTCTGGGGTCACAGCCCAGACTGACCAGATATTGACCCCCAGTCACCAGGAACAGTCCAGCTTTGTCCCAAACTCCAGGGACGAGGCCCTATTCCTCAGACATCCCAGGATGCTGGCTCTGTGTCTTCCATCTCCGGAAGCCATGCTCCTTGCTCTGTGAATTGAATCTGCCGTGGAAGCAGACCAGGCTATTCTCTGACCTCCTTGAACAATGATCCTGAGGCTCAGAGATAATCCCAATGAGGATGAACTTTCAGCACAGCCTGCTCCTAGACCCTGGGCCCATCCCCACCCCAAAACTACAGTGGACAGTGTGTTGGAGGAGAGGATGTGCAGAGACAGGGCCCTGTGCCAGGTGACTTAACAGCTGGGACTCCCCAGGGACCACCCAGCTTAGCTGAGCCTAAGGGCTCCCACTGAGCCGGCTAAGGCTGGTGGCCATAGGAATCCTGGCTCTGGGGCGTTTCTATTCTTGCTGTGGCTGATGGCAAACGCAACCCAGACTGTTTATACTTGAGGGACTTTGTCAGCCAGAATCACGGACAGGTCCAGAGGTGGTCGAGATGCAGAGGTTCTCAGATCTGCAGACACTTGTCCTCTCTCTCCTGGGCCAACCCTGTGTCCTCTGGGCCGGCTTACACTCAGGCCAAATGGCCCAACAGTTGTTTGCTGGCAGGGAGAGGCCTCTCCCCTTACACTCCAGTCCTCAGACTTACTCTGACACCTCCTTCCCCTGGCTGAGCCTCAGATCCACCCAAAGGAGACCCAGTGGCCAGGGCACGGATTGGCTTGCCCTGAACCTACACAGACCCCATGCATAGGAGAGTGGGGAAGGCCAGATTTCCAGATGACAAGCAAGAGTTGTTGCTGGAAAAAGGGATGTGGGGGCACAAGCAGTGGAAATGCCCACAGCAGCTCCGAGAAGGGTGGTTGGGCCTCCAGGTCAGCATGGGTTCTTTCCTCCCCTCAGCCCTCCGGAAGCTCCAGCAGAGCCCCCTTCCCTCTGGTGAGAATGGCATCCTCAGCAATAAGTGTTTGGTGCCAGGCCCATGCTGGTGCCCTTCCATGCAAGTAGCTGTCTGTGCCCCTGTTTCCTCTGTGGAGAAACTGGGCCTCTGAAAAGGTGCTCCCCACTCCCAGACAGAGCTCTGGCTGCAGGCCCCCCACTGGCCCCGAAAGCAGCGCTGTTACCTCGAGGTGCTTACTGTAGGGTTGCCTGTTATTGGAAACCTTTCCTTCTTGAACCTGTGCTGGTGGATTGTGGGTTGCTGTTTTGGTTTTTGTTTTTCATATCCTTGTTTGGCAGAAAATTCATGAAGAGCTGTAGGTCACTTGCCACACCATTTTTGCATTGTAAAAGTTCCACTAGCTCAGAAATCCAGACCTTCCTGACTCAATGACAGGTGCTATGCTGGAAGCCTCCAGCCAACAGGCTGGCTGCGAGGCAGGTCTGCTTTCAGCCTGCCTGCTGGTCCGCTGGCCTGCCCTTCGGGCCTCTCACCAGCCGGGCTTGCTATTGGGCTCACAGCCGTGGGCTCTCTGTTGGTTCCCATCCAGGACCTTACCTGCCTTTGCTGTGAGCGAGCCGCACCCTGAGGACCTCAGCACCTCCAGCCGGGCCCCCAGCCCCAGAGCCCCTCCTCATGCTGGGCACCCACCTTCCTTCCTGTGCAGGGAGAAGCTGGATTCCTTCCTCCCTGCCCACCTCTGCAAGCGGGGCCATGGGCTCTTTGCGGCACTCCGGGGCCGAGGGGCCAAGGCGGGGACAGGTGAACAGGGCCTGCTGAATGCTTACTGCAAAGTGAAGGAAGCTGGCGACGGTGAGCACGGGGCCTCCTTGAGCACCCACTACCGTGCCTACCTCCTCAAGAGCCACGAGCTGCCCTTTTACGGGTGAGTGATTCCCTGGCTTTGTCGCCATGGGCAGCCACCGCCCTGGGGTCTCTGCTGTCCCCTTCCCCTGACAGCCCAGCCATTGGTCTTGGCCTTTACTAGCATGGCCTGCCAGGGCATCAGTCTCTGCTCCAGCCAGGCTCTGTCTTCACATGAGCCAGCACTGCAGGCCCCACGGGTACTGAGCTAGACGCCTGTCCTTGCCTCATTCCTGTCACAGGCCAGACCACCAGACAGGTCTTCCTATTCCGCCTGCCAGTCACTTGGTCGGTAGGCCTGCTGACCTCCCATTGAGCCCACTCTCCCTCTCACGCCTGTTCACGTCTGCTTGGTAGCTCTTGGGCACCTGCTGCATGCCAGTGTTCTAGGCGCCAGCAGGACCTCAGTGAGCAAAGGGACCTGGTCTGTGCCTGATGGGGCTAACGATCCAGAGGGAAGAGAGACAGCAGCAGAGGTTGAGAACAGACTGCAGGTGGGCAGAGGCACCAGCCAGGTGACCAGTGAGGACAGTCACCAAAGGGGACAATACTCCAAAGGGGAGCAACGGCTCAGGCCAGGCGGTGATGATGCCAGAGGTGAGACATGGTCAAGTGTCGGAGATGTTGAGGTGTAGAGTCAACAGAATTTGCTAGACAGGTAGACAGTGGAACAGATGAAGGAGAGGAGACGGAGCTCCCAAGGTCTGGTCAGAGGCAACTGGAGGATGACGTTGTCATCAAATGAAGTGGGACCGTGCCATGGAGCAGATTGGGGAAGGTTGGGGGTTTGGTTTTGGATGTGCTGATCTTAGATGCTTGCTGGATATCCAGGTGGCATTTCTGAGTGAGCATTAAAGTTTCTGAGTCTAGAGGCAGGTAATAATTGGTGGGCATCAGCATTTGGGTGGTTTGAAACCTGGAGCTCCAAGACATGGCCAAGGAGGTGAGTATGGACCAGACGCAAGGAGACCCTGGGCCAGCAAGGCAGGCAGGTGGGTCTCTACAGGCCAGGTAAAGGGGCCTTCCAGGGCAGGAGAGAGTAATTGAGCCTCCCATGCTGCTGCTTCCAGGTCAAGTTCAACCTGTCCTGTGCGACTGGTGGTTGACCTCCAGCATCAGGGTGGCAGCGGGTGAAGGAGAGTGAGAAAAGACTGGAGACAGCGAGTGTGACCAACTCCTTCAGGGATCAGTGCTGTGAAGTGGAGTCGAAAGATGCAGCATTTGTGGGTGGGGTCGGGGCAGAAGATCATTAATTTTCCTGATGGACGAAATGTGTGGGTACAGACAGGGATGACCCTCTAGAGGAGGGGGTAGATGAGGCTAGGCAAGTGGCTGCTCCCGGTTGCTTCAGTGACTCAGTGAAGTAGGAGTCCCAGCCATTCGCTGGGCTCATAGAAGTTCTTCCAGGAGTAGGGACAGGAGTGAGGCTGCTTGCAGGAATCAGAGGGAGCACATGCTGGCCTCCAGGCCAGGTCTGGGGTGAGGGTACAGCAGCGCGGAATTCGGCAAGGGCTCTGGCTTCGCCTGCTGCCAGGGGGCAACAGGCCAGACTGCCAGAGGAGGAGGAAGGACACAACAGGGTAGGGGAGAGGGCGGCAATTCAGTGGGTCGGCGTGCCAGGGCCACATCCTTCCCCCTTCCCCGGTATCAAGCCCCAAAGCCTCCCTCATGGACCTTGAGCAAGTGTAGCTTGACCCCACTGCTGCTGAGGGGCCTTGGCCTGACAGACAGCAGGCCGAGGGGCTCTCCCAACCCTGACGTGGCCTGGCCACCTCCATCTCTGCCCCAGCCCCTACAGCCCAAGTCCTTGGGCTCCTGGTAATTCCCTGAGCACCGCTTGCTCCATCCCACACCCAGATTCACGCTCTTCCTCTGTCTTCAGTGGCCGCCCTCCTCTGTGCCACTCACTTCCTCCTCCTGCCTGTTCAGACCTTCCTGTCTGGTGAGACCAGCACAGATGCCGCCACCTCCAGGAAGTCTCCCTCCTCTTCTCTCACGATTTCTCCCTCCCTAGGGGCAGGTTTCATTGAAACTTCAGGTCATCAAAATGGCTTAAACTTCTCATGTGCCTGGGGCAGGCCGGGCCAGAGCATTGTGGTGGTGGAACCCAGACCCTGGACTGTCGGTTCTTAGTGCCAGAGGCAACAAATTAATAGCAGTTCTCTCCCCAGGTGTGCCTTCTTCCATGGCGAGGTGGACAAACCGGCCCAGGGCTTTTTACACCGGGGTGGGCGAAAGCCAGTGGCCGTGGCCATCAGCTTGGAGGGCGTGCATGTCATTGACAGCAGGGAGAAGGTACCTCCGGCTCCTCCAGGGTGGGACCTGGGTTGGGGGTGGAGGGCCTCACTGGAGAGGGAGTGGGGCCCTTACCCACGCCTTCTGGTTCTCTTGGGCCAGTGGTTGGCCTGGAGGCAGACTGGATGGCTTGCTGACCTCCCTCCCTCAGATGTCCCCATGGCCTCCAGTGCCACCCCGGGGACTTCCTTGGGGTCTGTTCTACATCAGCTTTTCTGCCTAGCGTGTGAGGTAGGAGCGTGGTTAGGGCAGGGGGAGGTGCAGCTGGGGTGAAAGCCTCTGAGTGGAGGGAATCTGGCATGGCCTGGCCGCTCTGTTGGACCAATGGCTGAAGACTAGTTATTGGTTTTCCAGAAAAGCCTCACGACTAGAAGCCTTCCTTGGCTGCCTGAGTCCTGCTTCTCCCACTCCTGCCCTGTGGGGCGATTTCTCAGCACTTGGGCAGGAGTCTCTCCTAAGCTAGCAGGAAAGTTTTAGATGACTGCTGCTTGTCCCCAGAGTGGCACCCCAGCCCTTCCTTGCGTGCAAATATGCCGGGCCCAGAGCCCAGCTCAGCTTCTTGCTGAGTTGCTACCTAGTTGATTTCCAGGAAAAGGTCATCCTTCCCACTGGCCTCTTGCCTCAGGTGACTATCTCAGCTGTCAGGGGCCTGGCTGGCTAGTGAGAAGTGCTGTGGGTTAGGAGTTGTCAGCCTCCCCAGACCACAGCCTCCTCTGAGGGTCTGATGAAAGCTGCCACTCCTCAGAGAAATTCACACGGGAATTTAGCCTCAGCCTTACAGGTTTATAGCCTGGTAAAGTGTCCCCTCCTGGTGGCACCTGAGCAGGATGGGGTAGGGGAGTGGACTGCTCAACCGAATCCAAACTCTGCATCTCCCTCTGGCCAGCATGTCCTGCTGGGCCTGCGCTTCCAGGAACTGTCGTGGGACCACACCTCCCCCGAGGAGGAGGAGTCTGTCCTGTGGCTAGAGTTTGATGGGGACAACGAGGGCACACCGGTCAACAAGCTCCTTAAGATCTACTCCAAGCAGGTAGTGGGCGTTGCCTACACTGGGGGTGGGGATGGGGTGAAGTGTGGTAACCCTGAGCTTAGGGTGCCCCAGGCTATGGGAGGCTCCAGGCTGGCTGACAAGGAGGTGAGGGCTGCTGAGGGCCTGGGGACCAGGGAAGCTGACATCAGCTTATCTGTGGCCACCCTTGTGAGTCAGAAGGCCTAGTTTGATGCCACCCTGGGCTTCCTAGTTCTGTGTGACTCTAGGAGTTGGGTGCTTTCAGAGCAGGAGCAGGCGTGACAGGGTGAAGGCCCCACGTGCCTTGGTTTCGCTCTGTTCAGCCAGCCCCCACCCCTGCCCCTCCTGCTCCTGCCCTGGTCATGGCACAGGCCTTCCTCCCACACTTCCTCCTTTCTTCTCAGCAGACACTGGTCAGAACCCCTGTCCTTGAAAGCACACCTCCACCCCTGCTGCCATCTGGGGTCCCTGGACCCTCCATAGGTGCTCTCCTTACTCTGGCCTCCCCTCCCACTTGGCCACACATCTGGCCACAGCCAGCCTCTGCTTTGCCACACGTCTGTCCTCTATTGCCACTCAGCTTGACCTGGGGCTCCTGGACACTCCACCCTGTCCCCTGTGGTAGCTGCCCTGACCTCCTGCCCTGAGCATCCACAAGTTCTTCCCTCTTACAGCTTTGAATACTCAGCTGGCCCCGCCTTTTTGCTGATGATTCCATAATTTTTGCATTACCAGGCTAGACCCCTTTTTAAAGTAAATGTTTTATTGAATTATAGAGAAAAGCGCCCAAATCCCAAGTGTAGAGCTCAACGGGTTTTCCCAGAATAACCCACGTAATACCTTTCAGGTTGCAAAATAGAACTAGGACCCCAGGAGACCCCTCGAGCCCCCTCTCTCGCCTCCCCTCGACCACCACCAAAGGGACCCCCATTGTGACTTGTTTCAGCCATGAGTCATTCTGCCTGTTTTTGAACCTTCTGGTGGCAGGTCTGCACCGTGTGTTCTGTCCCGTCTGATTTGTTCTGCTCTGCGGTGTGTTTGTGAACTTCGTCCTCACTGTAGGTAGCAGTGACTGGATCTTTTGGGGTGCTCTCTGATGTTCCAGCATCAAATTCACCGGTCTTGACTTTCCATTCCATTGCTGAGGGACGCTTGGGTTTCCGGTTTATGACTATCGCCAGTGACACTCGTGATCGCTGCCATGCGTGTCCTTTGTGCGCGTGTGTGGGTGTACACCCGGGAGTGGAACGGCTGGGCTAGCAGGTCAGTGCATGCACCCTCGAACAGACACTGCCCATTGTCCACGAGAGCTTGCTGCTTCGCATCCTCTCCCTCGGCCCGTTGTAGCCGCTCTGGAGGAACAATCGTGCTATCTCCTTATGGTTTTTTCCTATGTTTTTTAGTCCATTTTATTGAGGTATAATTTACAGTAAGCACCCATTTTAAGAGTAAGTTTTGATGCATTAACGTGCCTGTGTAACCACCACAGCCAGGCAGCAGAGCAGCTTATTTGCTGAGCTTGTATCTTTCTAGATGTTAAATGTCTGTTCACACCTTTTGTCCATTTTTTATTGGAGTACTTGTATCACCCCCCAAATCTCCACCTGGCTATTGTTGGCCTCTCCCACTGCCTAATGAGGTTGGCAACTTTTTTTTTTTTTTTAAGATTTTATTTATTTATTCATGAGAGACACACACAGAGAGAGAGGCAGAGACACAGGCAGAGGGAGAGGCAGGCTCCATGCAGGAAGCCCAATGTGAGTCTCAATCCCAGGACTCCAGGATCAGGCCCTGGGCCGAAGGCAGCGCTAAACCACTGAGCCACCCGGGCTGCCCCAGGTTGGCAGCTTTTATGTATTTATTTGCCATCTGGGTGTCCTCTGTTTGTTGAAATTTTTGCCAGTTTTTCTTTGTGGTTGCCTTTTTTTTTTTAATTCATCCTTTAGTACCTTTCTTGTCTGCTTTTAGAGTCATCTCCCACCTGCTACTTGATGCTTCCCACAAGCTCTCCCTAGAGTTTCGCTTTCTCCAGAGCTCGCTATAAATACACTCCGCTACATGTGTACATGCACATAACCCTACATATTTACCCAAGCAACATAAAGACATATGTCTACAATGATACTTGTACTCAGGTGTTCATGGCAGTTCCATTTATAATAACTGAAGCATCAGAAACAGCACACATGTCCATCAGCTGGTGAATAGGGAAACAAATTGTGGTATACACACACTATACGTAACATGTGCAGCCTTTGCAACTGGCATCTTTCCCTGACTTTATGTTTTTGAGACCCGTCCATTGTATGATGTGTCAGTTGGTCCCTTTACGTTGTCAAATTGTACTCCACATTGTGCGTGAACCTCAGGTCAGCTCTTCATCCACTGAAAGATATTTGAGTTGTTTCCAGTTTGGGGGCTTTTGTGAATAAAGCTGCTGTAAACATTTGGGCATATGCCTTCATTTCTCTTGTATAAGTCCCCAGGAGTGTGATTGCCAGATTGTGTGAAAAACCTCATATCGTCCCTATCAGAAACCAAACTGCCAAAAAAGAGAAAGAAAGAGAGAGAGAGAGAGAGAGAGAGAGAAAGAGGGAAAGGGACCAAACTGCTTTCCAAAGTGACCGCACCATTTTTGCATTCCCACCAGCACCATCTGAGAGTTCCAGGTGCTCCAGTCTGCCCAGCACTTGGTCTCTGCCAGTCTTGTCTGCCATTCTCATAAATGCAGCAGCTTCCATTTGCCTTTTCCTAAATTTCGTGATGTTGATCATCTTTCCAAGTGCTTATTCTCCATGCACATATTGTCTCTGACAGAGGGTCTGTTCAGATCATTGGTCCATGTTTTCATTAGTTTCTTTTTCTTTTTCTTTTTTTAAGATTTTATTTATTTATTCATGAGAGACACAGAGAGAGAGGCAGAGACAAAGTCAGAGGGAGAAGCAGGCTCCCTGTAGGGAGCCCGATGTAGGACTCAATCCGGAACTCTAGGATCACGCCCTGGCGGAAGGCAGGCGCTCAACCCCTGAGCCACTCTGGTGTCCCAGTTTCTTTTTCTTTTAAAGATTTTTATTTATTTATTTGAGAAAGAGAGAGCACAAGGGGGTGGGCAGAGGGAGAGGTAAAAGCAGACTCCCCACTCCCCAGGACCTGGGATCATGACCTGAGCCAAAGGCAGAAGCCACCTAGATGCTCCCTCATTGGGTTATTTTCCTATTTGGGTTGTGAATGTTCATTCTATAATCTGTATCCTTTATCAGATATGTTTTGCAAATCTTGCAGTCTTTGATTTGACTTTTTACTTTCTTAATTTTTTGAAGAGATGTTAATTTTGATAGAGTCCATTTCATCAGGTTTTTTCTCCTTATGGTTCCTAAGAAATTATTGCCTTAAAAAAAAAAAAAAGAGGGGAGCCCTGGGTGGCTCAGCAATGTGGCACCTGCCTTTGGCCCAGGGTGTGATCCTGGGGTCCCTGGATCGAGTCCCACATCGGGCTCCCTGAGGTGAGCCTGCTTCTCCCTCTGCCTGTGTCTCTGCCTCTCTCTCTCTCTCTCTCTCTCTCTCTCTCTCTCTCAGTGTCTGTTATGAATAAATAAATAAAATCTTTTTTAAAAATTAAAAAAAAAGAAAAGTAATTATTGCCTAACCCGAGGTCACAAAGATATTCTATATTTTTTCCTAGAAGTTTTATAATTCTTAGTAAAATTTCAGAAACTAGACGTTTTATAATTTTGGGTCTGTGATCCATTTCAAGTTGCTTTTGTACATGAGGTGTGATATATAGATCAAGATTCACTCTCTCTTTTGTTTTGGTTTGGTTTGGTTTCAGTGTTATTTGTTGAAAAGACTGTGCTTCCATCATTGAATTGCCCTTGTGTCTCTGTCGCAATTGGCCAAGTGTGTGTGGGTTTATTTCTTGATTATCTGTTCTGTGCCCTTGATCTATGTGTTTGTCTTTCACTAATAATCATACTCTATTGATTACTGAAACTTTATAGTAAGTCTTGAAATCAGATAGGATGATTTCCAGAACTTCGTATTTTCCAAAATTGTTTTTGACTATTCCAGTTCCTATGCATTTCCATATAAATTTTAAGATAAGCTTGTCGATTTCTACCCTTTCTTCCCCAGAAAAGCTTCTGGGGTTTAGACCAAGATTGTGTTGAATCTGTAGATTAATTTGGAGAGAATTGACATCCTAAGTCTTCCAGGCCATTTATTTTTATGTCTCCATTTATTTGTCTTTGATTTTTTTCACTAACATTTTATTGTTGTCAGCATACAGATGCTTTTATCATATTTTTCTCTAAGTATTGCTTTGCTTTACTTTCTCTTCTTGGTGCTAGCCTAGGTGGTACTTTTAAATTTATTTACTAGTTTTATAGTGACATAAAAGTTTATTGCTCTCTCAATAACATTATAGGTAGGCAGTCCAGTCTAGATCTGTTATTGTGGACTCACAATCCTTTAACCTTATTGCTCCACCATGCATATTCCCTAATCTTATTTTTCTTTTTAGGATTTTAATTATTTTTTAAATTAAAAATTGTATTTATTTATTAATGAGAGACAGAGAGAGAGAGAGCAGCAGAGGGAAGAGCAGGCTCCACGCAAGGAGCCCGACGTGAGACTCCATCCTGGGTCTCCAGGATCAGGCTCTGGGCTGAAGGCAGCGCTAAACTGCCCAGCCACCCAGGCTGCCCAAGGTTTTAATTATTTATTCACGAGAAACACACAGAGAAGCAGAGACCTTGGGAGAGGGAGGAGAAGCAGGCTTCCTGCAGGGAGCCCGATATGGGTGGGACTCAGTACTGGGACTCTGGGATCACACCCTGTGCTGAAGACAGACGCTCAACCACTGAGCCACCCAGGCATCCCTATTCTCTACTCTTAAATTCACCTCATGGTCCAGGATAGCTGCTTCAACTGCAGCTATCACATCTACATGCTAGACAACAGGAAAAAGAAAAAGGAGAGGACAGGCAATCCCCCCTTTTAATTTCAATTTTTAGTTGTTCGTTGTGGTATGTAGAAATACAGTTGATTTTGTTATCTACATATTCATATGTCCTGCAACTCTGTTAAACTCACTCACTGGTTCTCATAGTTCTGTTGCAGATTCTTTGGGGTTTTCTCTGTAGACAGTTGTGTCGTCTGTGAACAGGGATAGTCATGTTCTGGCTTTCCAGTCTGCATGCCTCTATTTACTTGGCCTGATTGCAATCCCTTGGACCTCCAGTACAGTGTTGAGTGCGTGTGAGCAGACATCGCAACTTGGTTCTGACCTTAAGGGGGACATATATCCAGTCTTGCTCTCAATAAGTATGGTATCAGCTACAGGTCTTGGAAAGACACCCTCACTGGATTGAGGAAGTTCCCTTCTTTTCCTGGTGTGCCAAGCTTTATCTTGAATGGATATTAATTTTGTCAAATGCGGTATAGTTTTAATGGCAGGCAGCATCACACCATGATTGGGGTTTTATTCCAAGGAACTTAGAGGGCTCCCCTGTTGTGCTTACAGCCCAGGGGCCTCTGTTTCCACTGGCCCTCCTGTTTACCAGCCTAGTGCCTGCCAGCTCTGCTTGGTGGAGTCACTCAGTGAGAAAAGGAGGCAGGGGTGGAGAGTAGATGCTGGCTTCTGCTCCTGGGCCTGGGCTGGGTCTCCTGCCCTGCCCCCAGCCCCCAGGATGGGTTGTGTTACTTCAGAGAGGCCTTGGAATGCACTGGATGGGGGCAGGTACCAGGCCACTTGCCACTTGTCTGTCACCTGGGGGCCATTCCCTTGGCCTCTAACCCTGCTCTTCCTGTGAGTGCTTTTTGAAGCACAGGCAGGTATTATTGATCCACCTCCGTCCCTGCTGCATCCCACTGCCTATAGCAGCACCTGCCACAGGTAGGTACTCAGTAAATGTGTAACCTGACTAAAGGATGCCACATGCTGACGGCTTTCTCTATATGGATCCACCAGACTCCCGGCATCCCTGTCATACGGTGTCCAGACCATGCTCACTGACATCCGGTCACTTCTCCTTTTCTGTCAATATGTGTTATATTTAAAATTTGTTGAGAAGGTAGCGCTTTGGAAGAATGTGTTCAGAGGGAACCCGTCAGCCTGTGGTCTGACCACCATCTTCTTCATAGGCCTGCAAACTCTTCTCTCAGACAACTCCCCTCCATTCTTACAACCCAGAAAGCTCTGTCCTGGGTCCTCTTCTTCATCAGCCTCCTGTAACTGCTGAGATTCCTCCCCTATCTGGCTTGACTGCTACAGCCCCTGGCACTCAGCCTTCCTGGCCTGGGCCTTCTGCCAGAATGTTCTTTCTTACCCATCCCACCTCCCAGACCTGAGATGGGAACTCATCCATCAGGCCTGACCTCCAAATTCAACGCAGACGGATAGCTCCCCTGTCCCCTGGCCCGCAGAGCACCTGACCCCCTCTTCTTTTTTGTGTGTTTGTTTCATCATCTGCCTCCCCCAGCAGAAAGCAGGGGCTAGTCCATCTCATCCATCTCACTCCGCACAGCATGAAAAGGCTGGGCCTGGGCCATACATAGCTCACCACCCAGGCCTCAGGGTGGTCCCTCTGTCCTCCCCAGGCCGAGCTGATGAGCAGTCTCATCGAGTACTGCATTGAGCTGAACCAGACTTCAGAGCCTGCTGCCTCCCAGGAAAATGTGTCTGGCACACCCTCAGCCGCTGGTGCCCCACCACCTCCCATTCAGCGCCCACAGCTGCGGAGGCAGGGCAGCGTGGTATGCAGCCGCCTCCAGCATCTCTCCACCATTGACTACGTGGAGGAAGGTGAGCACATGTTCACGTGTACACACATACACACACACATGTGCACACCTAGGGAGCCCTAGGGACAGGGAGCTGCTAAGTGATTCCAGAGGCATCGAGTTAGGGTCCAGCTGGAAGGGACCTAATTGGAGGATGGGGGTGAGGTCAGGGGAGGGTTGCATCTGTGAGTTCTGTGATTGGGAACGGGCCTTTGGGACCCTGGCAGGAAGGATCCCTCCCTGTCCCTGTCCACAGATATGTTTCCTGCGGCTGTGTCCAGTTGTGAAAAACTAGAAACTCCTGAAGTCTGTTCTTTCAAGTGTGGATATAGAAACAATGGGCCACATCCGGTGGACTCGGGGCAAGTGGTAAAAGGGCAGGACCCTTAATGCAGTGTGGTGTCTCACATCAGGCCCCGGAGCAGACAGACATTTGTGAAAGAGCTGGTGAAGTACAGAAGTCTGTAGTTTAGTTAATCATGTTGCATTGATGTTTATTTTTTACTTTTGGCAAATATACGATGGTATTGGAAGATGCCAGCATCAAGAGAAGCTAGACGAGAGTACATAAGAACTCTTTGTATTATCTTTTCTTGATAAATCTAGAATTATTCCAAAATAGGAAGGTTTAAATGTAGTAAGGATGACCTGCATTTAGATAGCAAAATGTAGGGGATTCCTGGGTTGCTCAGCGGGTTAGCACCTGCCTTCAGCCCAGGGCATGATCCTGGTGTCCCGGGATCGAATTCCGCATCGGGCTCCCTGCATGGAGCCTGCTTCTCCCTCTGCCTGTGTCTCTGTCTCTCTCTGTGTGTCTCTTATGAATAAATAAATAAAATCTAAAAAAAAAAAAATAGCAAGATGTAGGGGCACCTGGCTGGTTTAGTCAGTGGAGCATGTGACTCTTGATCTTGGGGTTAGGAGTTCAAACCCCATGTTGGGTATAGAGATTACTTAAATATAAAATTTTTAAAATAGGGATCCCTGGGTGGCGCAGCGGTTTGGCGCCTGCCTTTGGCCCAGGGCGCGATCCTGGAGACCCGGGATCGAATCCCATATCGGGCTCCCGGTGCATGGAGCCTGCTTCTCCCTCCGCCTGTGTCTCTGCCTCTCTCTCTCTCTCTCTCTCTGTGACTATCATAAATTAAAAAAAAAAAAATTAAAATAAATAAATAGCAAGATGTTCACAATAAGGTCAAGTAATAAAAATCAGGTAATAGGACCACCCACGCAAGACTGCATCTGTGTATAGGAGGGACATGTGCCAACTGTAGTGGTGAATTGCTGTAACTTCTACTTTTTTCCTTGTGTTTCTTTGTAGTATTTACATTTTTGATGACAAGCATATCTTTTTTTTTTTAAGTTTTTATGTTTTTTTTTTTTGTTTTTTTGTTTTTTTTTTTATGATAGTCATACAGAGAGAGAGAGAGGCAGAGACATAGGCAGAGGGAGAAGCAGGCCCCATGCACCGGGAGCTTGACATGGGATTCGATCCCGGGTCTCCAGGATCGCGCCCTGGGCCAAAGGCAGGCGCCAAACCGCTGCGCCACCCAGGGATCCCTCTTTTTTTTTTTTTTTTTTAAGATTTTATTTATTAGAGGGGAGAGGCACAAGTAGAGGGAGAAGCGGGGAGCCTGATGCGGGGCTCAATTGTGCAACCCTGAGATCATGACCTGAGCTGAAACCAAGTTGGCCACTTAACTGACAGACACCCAAGCACCTACAAGCATGTCATTTTTATCATCAGGAAAAGCAAAACAATATTTTTTTTTTAAGATTTTATTTATTTGACAGAGCATGAGCACAAGCAGGGGGGAGATGCAGAAGGAGAGGGAGAGAGGGAGAAGGAGAAACAGGGAGCCTGACACGGGGCTGGATCCCAGGACCTTGGGATCATGATCCGAGCCAAAGGCAGATGCTTAACCAACTGAGCCACCCAGGTGCCACGTGAAACAATTTTTCTGTAACGTGACCGTTTCTCCGTTTCTACACCTTGGTGTGGCTAGCAGGCGTGTCACCCCAGCTCCCTATTGTGGGACATGACAGTTATTTCCAGTTTTCAGCCACTATAGACAACACAGGTATTGCTAAATCCTTGCTTGGAATCTGAACCATTTCCTCAGGATCATTCCCTAGAAACAGGGTTGCAGTGTCAGACGGCATGCCTGCTGGCCCCCCTCCTGGGAGGGCATACACTCCAGTCATCTAGCCACTCTCCAGCACACTAAAAGAGAACTTGTTTGGGTTTGGTTTGGTGTTCGAGCATTAGTGAGGTTGGACCGATTTTGTGTGCTTGGTCATTTTTCTTCATGGATCATTGTTCACTTATATGTGTTGTCTATTTTTCTTTTGTTGCTAGATTTCTTTTTTTTAAGATTTTATTTATTGGGCAGCCCCAGTGGCTTAGCAGTTTAGCACCGCCACCTTTGGCCCGGGGCGTGATCCCAAGGACCTGGGATCGAGTCCCACATCAGGCTCCCTGCATGGAGCCTGCTTCTCCGCCTCTCTCTTCTTTGTCTCTCCTGAATAAATAAATAAAAACTTAAAAAAAAAAAAAGATTTTATTTATTTATTCGTGAGAGACACACAGAGAGGCAGAGACATATGGAGAGAGAGAAGCAGGCTCCCTGCAGGGAACCTGATGTGGGATCATGTTCTGAGCCAGAGGCAGACACTCAACCACTGAGCCACCCAGGTGCCCGTTGCTTGATTTTGTTAATTAACATCTTACATTAATGTGGTGTATTTGTTACAGTTATCGAACAAATAAGGATACAGTATCATTAAACTCCTTTATTTTAGCCTAATGTTCTTTCCAGTGGTAGGCTCCCATCCAGAACGCCACACTACATTTAGTTGTCATATCTCCGTAGGCACCCCTGGGCTGCGACAGTTTCTCAGATTTCCCTTGTTTTTGATGACCTTGGCAGTTTGGAGAAGGACTACTTGGGGATATTGTAGGATGCCATGTAACTGGCATTTGCCTGGTGCTTTCCTCATGCTCAGGCAGGAGTTGTGGGCTGGGGAGGAAGGTCCCAGAGGTAAAGTGCCATTTTCATCACACCTGTCAAAGGTGCATTATCAACATGACTTAGGACAGTTGATGTTGACCTTGGTCACCTGGCTTGAAATTTAACTTATATGAATTCCTTTTTTTTTCTTATGGAGGCTCACCTTCAGCCAGCCTCCTGTGCTGTAGGTGTTTTATTTCTTTGGTCTGTTCTTGAACTGGGTTGAGCAAAAGCTCCTGGGACAGCAGAGCTGACCCAGCATCAAATGCAAAACCCGGATTTGCCTCTGATGCAGAAGGCTAACCACATGTCTTGCCCTTGGCAGCACTGGCAGACGAGCTTCAGTGGGGTCTGAGGCTCAGACAGTTCGTGGATGCAACGAGGGGGACCCAGTGTGAGCAGGTTCTGGAAGGAGCCAGCCCCTGGTGCCAGAACCCAGGCTCCCAGGGGCGTGGACCATCACACCCCAGGAAGCCCTCCCTCAACACGTTCTTCTTATTCCTTCATAGGTCAGCAGATCAAGCGGGTGAAACCAAAGCGCACCACATCCTTCTTCAGCCGGCAGCTCTCCATGGGCCAGGGGAGCTACACCGTGGTGCAGCCCACCGACAGCCTGGAGCAGGGCTGAGGGTGGCAGTGCCGGGCAGGGGGAGGGCACAGGGAGGTCCTCCCTGGACCTAGCCCAGCGCTCTTCTCCCAAGGGGCAGGACCAGGCTGTGGCTCTGGTGTTGGGTAGGAGGATTACCTCGGAGAAGAAAGAAGCAGCTTCTGTGCCCGTGGTGGTACATGGGCCACGCAGAGCTGGCTGGGGACTCCCGCAGGGTCTTCCTTGCAGCCTGCCTGCCTTTCCCCTGGACTCAGCCCCACTGCTGTCTCAGGACCATCTGAGGAGGTTCTGGCCACCTCCTCCCAGCCAGGGATGTGCCCTTCTCAAGATGGAAAGTGTCCCCAGCTCTGAAGTCCTCAGTGACAGCCCTGATGGCAGGTGGCCGACAAATAGGGTTCAGGACTATAGGTCCAATGTGTGTCTTTGGTCTTTTCCCTGGACTTTGGTGACCACATCCCTGCATTTCTTCTGCCACATTCCACCCATGCTGCCAGTCTGGGCATGGCCCTGAGGGGTGGGAAGGAGGCCTCCCTGGATTGAACCACAGCAGGAACAGAGAGAGTGAAGCCTCCCACCCATACTCTCTCTGGCTGGATGGAACTGGAGGGAGCCAGGCAAGGCCTGGCTCAGGGAGCACTCTGTGCCCCTCACTCAGGCCTCTTGTGGTCAGGACACATTCTGACTGGAGGGAAAGTGCCTTTTTGCCAGCTTTTGATGACAACACTGTTCCAGGAGGTGGCTGCCCTGTGGACCAATGTGCCCACCAGATCCACACTCTACACTTAAAGAGGCTCCCAAACCACCCTGGACTTCAGGTTCTAGTTTTGCTCTTTTTTTTCATCTGCTTCAGTTCCACAAAGCGTGTGAACTCTAGGGTAACGAGAAGATGCCCCCACCAACCTCAGAGCTGCTGGCTCTCCTTCAAGATGGCGCCATGGTGTCCACCCTCCTGACCCTGGGGGTGGCCCATGCAGGGAAACGTCCTATGCGACTTGGTCTCCTCTTTCCAGGGACATTGTAGGGAGGCTGGATGTGGCACTGGGCATGTTTTTTAACCTGCTTTCCCCTCCTGGCATCTCCCAGAGGAGCCGTCCCAGCCCCTCTGCTCCTCCATGGTGGGTCCATGGCCCTCACAGCACTTCCTGGGACTTTCCATAGGAAGAAGCAGGCGCAGCTCAGCACTGGATTCTGCTTTGTCCTCCGTCTTCCCTCCCTCCCCGCTGAGAGCCTTGGCAGAGGAAATGCAAACTGGTCTCCAGGGTCAGAGCCCATTCCCTCCTCTTCCTTATAGTGGCTTTTGAGCACTCCAGATGTTCTGGGGCGGACTTGCCTCCAGCAGTAGGGACTTTGTTACTTGTTATAATAAGTAGGTGTCCCCAGCCTTGTGGAATGTCCCAGCCAGAGGACATCTTGTCTCCCCTCCTGGAGTCACTGTACCTGAGTGGCTGCAGCCCGCCAGGCACCCAGCCCTCTGGTTATCTCTCCTCTCGATCTTTTGACCCAAATGAATGTTTATCTGCTGGGCTTGAGGGTGTCGGGCGTGGACACACATTACTTGTTTTTATCCTTCAGTCTGTCTGTTTTATCCTTCAGTCTTCTGTTCTCTGAGCATCCTTTGTGCCAAGACCTTTTCTGCCTGCCCTTTGGGACAAAGCAGTATTTTACCAAGTGCCCTTTGAATATTCTCATTCTTTTGTATCATGTGACTTCTTAATAATAAAATAAATTTCTAGCGAACTTTGGGCGGTTTTTGGTACTGAATAATGAGGGTGTGTTGGTTGCACCCCGGGAGTTGACTACAGGCTGCTTGTTTGAAGCCCGACGACGTAAGACTCCATCCCCGGTCCCCAGGATTATGCCCTGGGCTGAAGGTAGCGCTAAACCGCTGAGCCACCCGGGCTGCCCTTGGTTGCTTTTTTATTAAACACACAGCAAAAGGGCAGCCCGGTGGCTCAGCGGTTTAGCACCGCATTTGGCCCAGGGCCTGATCCTGCAGACCCGGGATCGAGTCCCATGTCAGGCTCCCTGCATGGGTCCTGCTTCTCTCTCTGCCTGTGTCTCTGCCTCTCTCTCGCTCTCAAGAATAAATAAATAAAACATTAAAAAAAAAACACACACACACAGCAAGGTAATGCAGCTTTCTGGGCTGCTGAGTTCAATGGAGAGCCCAGAGGGCGGTTTTCCAATGTCAGTGATTGGTCAGGGATGCCTTTGGTAAGGTCCAGGAGGGACTTGGGGATTCATGGTGGGACCAAGGTGGGGGGGTGTGCAGGGAGGCCGGGGGAGGAGGAGTCAGTAGTGGGCAGGCTAGAGCCTTTGTCCCTGTCCCCTGAGCCTACGCCATACAACAGTGGCCTATAGATCCCCCACTGCCCTGTTCTTCCTCACACTGAGGGCTTGGGGCTCTGGGGAGAGTCTGGATGCCAGCACATCAGCCAAGAGGCCAGAGAACCCAGAACCCTTAGGCGATTCTTATGTCCACCCTGGGGGCCCTTTGTGGCCTGGGCCCGGCCAGGAGGCAGTTTGTTCCCCACAGATCCTGTTGTGGGTAGCCACGGGCTTTGGCCCTGTAGGGTAAGCACCATATGGGGTCTGGAGCTCCCATTGTGAACGATTTGGGAGCGTCTCTGTGGCAGCGAGGTACTGGGACTAGGGCCCCCTCCCCCTAGTCATGCCTTCTGTGGGGTCCTCTGACAGGGCAGCATGATACCTCGATTGTGGGCCCTTCGTGACCCTCTACACCTTGACCTTTAAGATGGGAGTGATAATAATACCCACCTCATAGGGTTGTTGGAGTGCTTTGGGGTCTGGTGGTGACGAGGCCCTTGGTGGCTCTTAGCTATTTTCACCATCATCTAGAAGTCCTGTGTCTGGAAGCTGGCAGAGAAGCCAGGATCCCCTGAGAGGCCGGGGCCTGCTGACTGCACACACACCCCCACTCTGGTGGATTAAGGGAGTACCAGCAGCCTGGAGCCTGGCCCACCTGGAGCCCCTTCCTCTTACCCATGCTGCATCCACCCTCGCCACCTGTGACAGCCCTGAGAGGCAGGCACAACCTTAATGGCTGAAAACCACACACACTCATTATCTCACAGTTGTGTAGAAGTCTGAAACGAGTCTCATTCTACAAAGGTCAAGGTGTCGGCAGGGTCTCATTCCTTCTGGAGGCCCCAGGAGAGAGTCCCTTTCCTTTCCCTCTGCAGCTTCTAGAGGCCACCCGCATCCTCAGCACGTGGCCCCTTCCTCCATCTTTGCCTCCAGCCAGTGAAGGCGAGTGAGGTCCTCACATCTCTCTCCTGCTCTGCCCTTCCAGGCTCGGGGTCCCTGTGATTACCTTGAGCCACTGTGGATAATTGGGGACCCTCTCCCTATGAAAGCTGGCTCACAAGCACCTTAGTTCCTCTTTGCCACATAACCCAACAGCTGCAGGCTCCAGGGGTCAGGATGCAGGCATGTTGGAGGGACCTTGTTCTGCCTGCCTCGCCACCCTCCCGCCACCACGGCCCTGCTCCACTTTGTGCCCTGTCGGCCACGTTGGCTTCCTCTGCCGTCTCTGACCCAGCCTCGTCCCACTGCCTGCCCTGGGAGCCGGGTGAGCAGGCGCAGCTGCCTGTCCTGTCTGTGGGCAGGCCCGAGCTCCCCAGGGGCCTCCCTCCAGGACCACCACCCAGTCCCCTCTGCTAGTTCTCCAGTTGACTCGTAGGCATAAGTTCAGAATGTGTCCCCCCAGCCACACACACACATACACACGACACACATCCCATTTCAGTCATCAACGGGCTGTCGCTCCCAGAAGGGATTTTCTGCTCTCTCTGGCCACCCAGCATGGCAGAGGGAGAGGACACTTGCCCACCCATCACCGTGTGTCCTTCCCCACCCCCCACACTAGCTGACTCATACAAACCACCCCTTGTGATCTGTACAGACACCTGGCCGTGGTCAGGGAGAGGGTGGGTGCTGGGGGAAGCCTCTTAGTCGTCTGAGGGCTTGGAGCCTGTGCTCCCAATCCCAGGCACTCTTGAGATGATCAAAGAGGGTTCAGGGGAGGGGACCCAACTAGAACCAAATCCCCTTGGGGAGAGCACCTCTACATGGCAAGGTGGCTGCTGAAGCTCCCTGGGAGTCAGCTTCCTGGTCTGTAAGGTACTCTGCCCCCCTTTTCTGTGCAAGCCTGCTGCCCAGACTGTGGGGGGGTGGGGGGTCCCACTGCCTCTCCCATGATCACCCTGGGGTCAGGTCCTGGGTTACACATGCCCCTGAGAAGCCATCAGCCCAAATCCCTGCTCCGAGTGGGTGGTCAGCAACATCTGACTGGATGGTGAGGGCAGCGATATACACTCCAGGCCCTCGGCCATGTCCACCCCCACCCCCACCCCCACCCCCCCACCCCAACCTTCGATCAGCACACAGAAGGCAGGCATGCGGCCCGCCACAGCCTGGGCGCCCTGAATGAAGGTCAAGCTTCACAGCCCTCCCCTTTGCAAGAGCTCCCCACTTGCCTCCAAGGCTCTGCTAGCGCCATGTTCAATGGTTTTGTGAAATAGGCAAAAGAAGGATTTAAAAGATTATTTTTTTGGAAAAAGAAACCCTAAAACTAAGCTTCAGTCCACACAAACCCTAGATGTCCTTGTCTTCCAGAGGGATTAGATCTTTCTCCTCCAGGAGGCCAAGACCTATTCACTGTCTGACTCCTCCTCCCTGCTGTGCAGCCTTAGGCAAATGTTATCACCTCTCTGGGCCCTCCATTGGCTCATCTCTAAAATGGGACAGTAGCAACATCTACTGTTCTTGTGACTGGGGGAGATACGAGGCCTAATGATTTCTTCCCCGCGAGGCCTAATGATTTCTTCCCCGCGCTCAAGGGCAGGGCACAGTGTTTTGCACACATCCACAACTGAGAGGCAGGCACCTGTTTGCAGAGGCAAGAGAGGTGGTCAGAAAGACCGGGATCCCCACCCTTGGGAGGCTAGACGTCACCTCTGCGGGGCCCCAGTCTCTTCACGCGTGAAGTGGAGATAATCAGCCCTGCTTTATGAGGTTGTGGGTGATGCTGGGGAACGGATATGGAACCATCCGCAGCCTGTGTGACTGTATCTGTGATTGTGTCAGGCTCCTCATTAACTCATCTTGGAAGAGCGTGTTCCGGAAGTCATTTTCACGCATCTCTGTTCGACCTTCATTAGGTTCCTGGAGCTGCTGTAACAAAGCGCCTTGGGCTGGGGGGCCTAAGGCAATGGAAATTTATCATCTCACAGTTCTGGAGGCCAGAAGTCCCAAACCAAGGTGTCGGCAGAGCCACGTTCCCTCTGAAAGCTACAGAGGAACCCCTCCTCGCTCCTTCCTGGCTTCCGGTGTTTTTCTGCAATCGTTGGCATTCCTGGGCTCAAAGCTGCATAAATTCAGTCTGCCTTTGTCATCACATGGCTTCTCCCTGTGTGCATGTATCTTCATAGGGGTGTCTTCTTCAAAGGACAACAGTCACATTGGATTAGGGGCCCACCCACCTTAGGCTTCTTCATCATAACTAATTATATCTGCAGCGACCCTATTTCCAACTAAGGTCACATGCTGAGGTCCCAAGGGTTGGCACTTGAACATATCTTTTTGCAAGGGACACAATTCAACCCCTAATACCATCCTAATGGTTTACAGTCTCGGTCTTCGTTGGGGCTGTTTAGTGCATCAAAGGTGGTTATTTTAAAATACCAGCTGCCCTTGGGTTGCATAGTGGCTTACCTCCCCCAGGCTAGCACACACAGACTGCCTCAGCCAGCACCTGCTCCAGAGGCCCTAGGCCAGAAGAGGTTCATGAGGGTCAGTGCAGCAATACAAGGGTCTTCAGAGTCCCTCAGGACCCCTAGCTCTTCCGAACTCCAACGGCAGAGATCACTGGAATAATCAGCACAAGCAATCCCTTCAGAAGTTAGGGCATTTCTGGGCCATTCTCCACCACTTAACAGCATCCGGGACCTTTCCACAAGCCTTCCTAATCCCAGCTTCTCAGTGAGTCAGGCATGGGTGGCTCCTGTCACAGCTGCAGCCAGTAGGCTGCCTCAGATCCAGCCACAAGAGGAGGGCTTCGTGCTGCTAGTGGGACAAGATACCCACAGGAAGCCGGAAGTCCCACTGGACTCAGAATACAGCAGGGCAGCCGGGAAAGCTTCCGTGCTCGGTGTAAGAAGCCAAAGGCTCGGGCAGCCCCAGTGGCGCAGCGCTTTAGCGCCGCCTGCAACCCAGGGCATGATCCTGGAGACCCTGAATCGAGTCCCACGTCAGGCTCTCGGTATGATGCCTGCTTCTCCCTCTGCCTGTGTCTCTGCCTCTCTCTCTCTCTCTCTCTGTGTGTGTGTGTCTCTATGAATAAATAAATAAAATCTTAAAAAAAAAAAAAAAGAAGCCAAAGGCTCAAGGTACACAGATAAAGCTGAAAAGAAAAGTTCAGAGTGACCATCCCAGGGTGGCCATGGGAACACACATGACCAGGAACACAAGCCACTTTGTGGCTTCTTTTTTTATTTTATTTTATTCATATAGAGAGAGGCAGAGGGAGAAGCAGGCTCCACGCAGGGAGCCCGACGTGGGACTCGATCCTGGGTCTCCAGGATCACACCCCAGGCTGCAGGCGGTGCTAAACCGCTGCGCCACTGGGGCTGCCCCACAAGCAACTTTGTATACATATGGTTGCCCAGGCAGATGAGCTGGCCATACCCAAACTCAAGAAGACAAAGGAACAGACA